TAGAATCTGTGAGTGCAAAGTACAATATCCACACCGGTGCGGTGACTGACAGCCACACATTCACCTCAAAACATTAGATTCATCCACGCTGGAGCCGTGCCGACTCACAACTCACACAAGGAAGATAATTCCGCAGACAGCTGCAATTGCAGGTTTTCAAACAGAGATGGCGACAAAGAGGCAAAACTTACGAACTGCAGCTTTAAACAACACAAACAAACAAAAACATTATTCACAAAATTAAAAAAATGATAATTTGGTAGAAATATCATGGTACCTGTTAAACAAACAAGTCGAAAAATCATGGAATTATCAATATATCTTTTTTTATACTGTAAATGCAGAGGTTGTATCTTGCTTTACTTCTCATACCTTTGCAGCTTCCACCATTCTGGCAGTGGCATCAGCCAACAGCTTGGCAGCTGCGAGCAGTTTCTTGGAATTATCCACATCGATTTCAGCCTCGGCGTCGGAGCGCATAGCATTCACCAAGTCCGAGGTGGCCTGGGCCAGAACCCGCGCCTGTCGTACCATTTCACCTGTAAATGTGAACATAAATGTTACTTAAACGCCACAATATCTTCATGCTGTGTGGGCAGATTTCTTTTTTATTTCTTTTGAAACATCTACTGGCATATTCTTGGCTCCTTCCACAGCATATTCACTGTCTTTGACTTTCTCCAGACTGAAAAAAAAAAACAGCCATTCCACATTTCTTTGATGTGTGTGAATCTGGCTCCGCTGAAGCTGGTCTCTTTGAAAATCAATCTTTCTGCATATCGCTTCAGGATCTGAAGCGCTCAAATGGTTGTGCACCCATGTGACCTGAAGTACATCATTGATCAAGGGCCCTTTCAAAAGCGTGCCTACTTGTTTTCCATAAATGGACTCTGTATTTCCCGAACACCTACATAGATCCAGAAATACAAGCGTTGACAAGATTATCAAGGGAGAGAGGTGTGCTTAAGGGATGTTTCACCTCTCGAAACGTAGGATGGATTCAGTGTGAAAATAGTAAGCTTGTTAAATCAACATGAAACAGCATTCACCTGTTTTACTTTCTCTATTTCTGAGTTAAATGAGAAAAAAAAAGGTAGGACTTGATTTGATTCACCGGGAAATGATAAGTAGGCTTTTCATAACAGAATGGAGTCAGACCTGAATGCAAGTTTGCAGCTGAATGTGGGCGACGATCCCACTTCTGAAATACCGCCATGTTTGAGGATACTTTTTGACTGGGATGTGGAGACTGGAGGTCAAGTTCAGGTTTTAAAATGATGTTGCTGACATTCACATTTATGAACATCTTTAATTTTGGGTCTACCGATAAATGTCACCATTTGGTGTGCTTAAAAAAAAAACACCCAACAAATGGTATTTACAGGCAAAGTAGATTACTCGGTAACACTTTACAATAAGGTTCCATTAGTTAATGCTAGTTAATGTATTAACTAACATGTACAAACAATGAACAGTACATTTATTACAGTATGTATTAATCTTTGTTAATGTCAGTCAATGAAAATACAGTTGTTCACTGTTAGTTCAGTTAATTCATAGTGCATTAACTAACGTAAACAAGCAGAACTTTTGATTTGAATAATGCATTAGTAAATGTTGAAATTAACATTAACTAAGATTAATAAATGCTGTAGAAGTATTGTTCATGCTTAGTTCATGTTAATTAAAGTAGTTAACTAATAAACCTTATTGTAAAGTGTTACCGATTACTAAATATATATTTGGATAATTACTATTTTTTTGTAAGGATGACAAATGTTTAGCTAAGAAGTTCAAAAGTATGGAAATTAATTTGCAAACATTTTAACTGCAAAACAACTTTTCATAAATAAAATGGCATAAACAACAATAGTAATAATAATAATGATCATTAATAAAATTATTTCTTGTATTTATAATAACATAAATACATCATACTTTATTGAATGTTAGAATTATATATATATATATATAATTTTTAATCCAGTTTGAAAAATACTGGATTTAATAGCTCTTAATATTCCAAGCATTATAATTGGATCTAAAACATACTAAAACATTATATTTTACAAATGTATTTTTTTTATTTTACAAAGCTTTTGAGTGCATTTTGAGTGAATATTTTGTAAAAAACAAAAAAACGAAAAAAAAGTGCTCAAAATAATTTATTGTAATCTAAATTATTTAGTTACTCAAAAAGCATAAATTTAAATTTCATTTGGTTCTGCATATCGGCTAAAGAAAAAATATATTGTTATCGTTCGTAAAGCAACATCCACCAAATGTCAATTTAAATTAATGTTAAGTTTGCATGGCTTGAGTGAGGTCAGTTTCAGAGACAGAGCAACACTACATGAAAGGGTACAAAATGCAAAAAAAAAAAATCTTCTGAATAACATGCACTTTTCTTCTGAATCGTGCACAATACAAACTATAACGTGTATTAAAGCAAACAGAGTCAATATTGAGTTCTTGTTGACTTTTATGCTAAACAATTCTTTGATGATGATGATTTATTGGCCCATGTCATTTATCATGTTCCATGTTTAACTTGAACAGTTGAAGTCAACCCCACCGGCATTTTTTGCCATGTGTTTTCCTTTAAAAAGTTCAAAGACAGGGCGTACATGATTGAGAACAGATTTGATGCTCTGTAGCGGTTTTATATGACATGTTTTCGACAACCTCGTGGGCACAGAATCTTTTGAGGATTCTTTAGACTTACGGCCATATAGCATAACAAACATCTTCAGTTTTGAAAACGACCCAAAAACACAGCACAGACCGCAGACAAAATCACTTTTAAGGACCTCACGGAGTCAAAATAAACTGGGGATCAAATTCTCCCAGAAAAACAACAGACAAGATACAAAGGCTGAGCAAAGCTAGCAAGCTAAATATTTGTCAGAGCATCATAATGGAGAATTAATGTTGCTTGTGGGTCACCTGAATTAGGGCTGTAAGCGGGTGAGATGTTAGCACACAATTGAGAGCTTCAAAATGAGGCCAGGAACACCATAAAAAAAATTGTGCAATTCTGAATATGGAAAAGCTAATCCTATTGTGTCACACCACAGATATGCTTTGTTTGGACGATGTGCCTGAAAGATATTAAAGCTCTCTTGTGTATTACTGTATGCTTATTTGACTTTGATTTCCATTTATTAAATTCTCTGTTGCCTGGAATTGTTTTACATCCTGTGTTACGGGCCCATCTATTGAATTTAGCAGCACTTTATAAGGCAAAAACTGCTATTTCTATTGCTCTTTTTTTGAGGTTAGGGAATTTGAACAATCCCTTAACCCCAAGTAATAAACACTGGCACATAATTCATCCTGCAACGTGCATGATAGCTCATGATGGCTTGTTGAGGAGAGTTGTGCTATTACTTAGTTTTCAACCATGGTTTTTGGTGGAGAACGCGGGCAAAGGAAAACTATGAGATGACATTAGGTCGTATCTATAGACCAGTTAGACTAAGACATTGAATAAAATATTTCTATAAATGTTCTTCCTAACTTTCTATTCATCAAACAATTTTGAAAAAAGGACCACAGTTTCCACAAAAATATAAAACAGCACCAACATTATTTTAATATCATACTGACACTGTTATAGTTTTTATTCATATTTGAATGAGTTTTTATTTTTATATATATTTTTAATTTTAGTTCAAGTTTTCGTGATTTTGTTGTGTTATATATATATATATATATATATATTTTTTTTTTTCAGTTTTATTTTATATTAGTACATCAAGATAAACTAAATTAAAATGAGAAATATTGCCTTGGCAACTAGCTGAAAAAAAAAGGAAAATATAGTTTTCTTTTTATTTCATAACATTTATTTATTTCAAATAAAATGTTGAAATAAATAAATGTAAGTAATATTTTAGTTAACTGCAATAACCCTGAGCAGCACAACAGTTTTCAACATTGATAATAATAAGAAATGTTTCTTAAGCAAAAAGGAGACAAAGAAAACTATAAAATGCCATTCAAGGTCATATCTAGAGACCAGTTACACTTGGAGGTGTCTCTTTCAACTTAACCCCTAGCAACCCCACAAAACACCTTAGCAACCACATTGCAATAATTCTGCAACATTTTTGGAAACTATCGGTTGAGGACAGTCTCACCTGCATCCCCCATTGAGGTGAAAATGTTTTCTGTTACGGTCATGATGGTGTCAGTGGCCTGGTCGTAGCGTCCGATTGGCTCGCCGCAGCTGGCGTAGTGGCGCACGTGCTGCAGCAGGTCGCTGAGGGCCTGGCTGACCGCGCCAGCCGCCATGTTCACCTGTCGGAGCAGCTCGCCCTCCTCTGAGGCGGCATGACATGCCTTCACACAGCCCTCCACCGATCGCTCCACCAAACGTCCCGCCTCCACCAGCTGCTCCTGACACACCGGGGAGGAGATGGTGGGGCTCACCACCTACCACAATCAACGTACACCGAAATAGATGGAAGACATCGTGTTCAGAATAGCGACAGATTATTTTGGACATCAAGTGTAAGGGAGTGTGTGTTTTTTTAGAGCAGATGAAAATATGAACTCAGAACTGAAATAGTCTCAGGGAATGACACATTATAAAAAATAAGCAAAATTTAAGTGCCCCTATTATGCCATTTCGAATATTGCCTTTCATGCAGTGTGTAATGTAGCTGTATGTGAATGTAAACGATCTGCAAAGATGTAAAGCCGAAAGTGCATGATAAATTAAGCGTTAGCGTTAGTTCTGGCAGGTCACGTGAGTCAAGCTTGCATCAGCAAATTACCCTCCTCCATCCCCAGCTCCTCCTTTCGCCACAGTCAGGACTTAGCTTTCTGATATTCCTTGCTATTCAGACTCCTTTATCTTGAATAAAGTGTTACAATTAAATATCAAGTTATTCAGTATTATTCAGCAGCTTTTCAGCTTGCTCAGGAGCAAATTAAGCATCGCTGCTCGTAAATCAAACTGTTGCAGCGTGTTTCAGAACATCTGAAATCCACGTCTAAGATAAGTGAATGCTGTTTTAATCCATATCGCTGTGTATATTACCTGGTCTGCTAACTGAAAAAGAAAAAAAAAAAGAGATGTTAGCAGTTTTGCATCGTTTGCAGGAGCGAAATATTAAGCATATTTGCAGCAGCATTTACGCATCTGTGTTCATACAGCTGGCTTAAAAAAATAAAAAAATAAAATAAATAATAATAATATTATACTAATAAAAAATACACGTAACTACAGTCGTTTTCCTCTGGTTCCTCACTTGCTGAGCTTGGGGTGATGCTTCCCCCATAAATATATTATTAAGCAACATTTCCTGCTAAGTTTCTTATTTCATTCTCATGCTCTTCTTAGCTGCTTATAAAGAAGAGCACCCCTTCGCTGCTACTTTCCTCCGGTAAGGGGCTTCCTGCTCTTCTTAGCTGCTTATAAAGAAGAGCACCCCTTCGCTGCTACTTTTCTCCGGTAAGGGGCTTGCTGCTCTTCTTAGCTTCTTATAAAGAAGAGCACCCCTTCGCTGCTTTCTCCTGTAAGTTGCTGCTGCCCCAGTCTCTGTTATTCCAGAAGGATATGCTTCTTTCAGAATGCCATCAGTTGTGGTTTGGGCGGTTCTGGCCTATCGTTTGTGTTGGGGGGGTTATTATTGCTGCTCTCCCTGCTCATTCATGACAGGCTGCATGGATGGGCAGGGAGTTTTTTGCCCAGAACAGAACCATACCGCCAAACCAAACTTTATGCTAAGTATCTATCATTTTGACGATAGTGGTCCTGACAGAAATAAAGTTATTGTCTCCCAAAAGAAAGAATCGACTCTGAACGACTACACGTCACATGGTAACACATTTGCATAATGCACGCCTATGTTCTATGTTGGACGACCGTGAACAACTTGACCTGCCCTCAAACACTGTAGCTTGTTTGTGTGGTTAACATCATGTCAAGAAGATGCGGCTGCAAAGAATCAGTGGTTAAAATTCATTTTTTCCACTGTACCACAGCAGTACAACCCCAATTTTTTTGTGTTCCAGTCATTTTACTGATGACTGCTTCAGTAAAATGGGATTGTAGGTGGAGGGAGTGAATGAGCAGCGCTCTCTTCTACCCTCAAAACCACGACTGAGGTGAGACCCTTGAGCAAGGCACCAAACCCCCAACTGCTCCCCGGGCGCTGCAGCAAAAAAAATGGCTGCCCACTGCTTCGGGTGTGTGTTCACGGTGTGTGTGTGTGTGTGTTTGTTCACTACTCACTGCTGTGTGTGTGCACTTGGATGGGATAAATGCAGAGCACAAATTCAGAGTATGGGACACAATACTTGGCTATACATCACGTCACCAAAACAATATTAGTAACCTTAAAAATGGCACAATATGGGCACTTTAAGTAGTGGCCAACTCTTGTATTCCTGATTAATCAGTCAGTATTTACATTTACATTTAGCAGACGCTTTTATCCAAAGCGACTTATAAATGAGGACAATGGAAGATATCAAAATCAAAAAGAGAGCAATGATATGCAAGTGCTATAACAAGTCTCAGCTTAATGCACTACACATAGCAAGGGTATTTAAAAAAAAAATTATATAATAAATAAAAAGAAAACAGATAGAATAGAAAAAGAATAGAGCAAGAAGAATAGAATCAGAATAGAGAGTTTAGGGGGTCAAATAAAGATGGAAGAAATGTGTTTTTAGCCGATTCTTGAAGATGGAATAAAGTCTAGAGTTCCTTACTCTAAATGATTAACCAATGACATTTGGTGTCTTATGTGCTGTTATCTTTCAAAAACCCATTCAAATTCATGTTTCACAGATGTACTTCTTACTTTTTAAATCCCATCCAAATCAAAGTGGCTGTGTGTGTTCCTTCACTCAAACTTGGTAAAAATTATGAAGCAAATTACCTACTGTTTCTTAGTTAACTCAAATACCGGATATTATCACTTGAGCTAAATTTCTTGTAGTGCATCTTCATTACAGAATTATACTTTTTTTGCTGTTTAAATCCCATCTGATTTAAAAATAATATTAAACCAATAAGGTCTTGCCAATAATCTTAATTAATTACTTCCTTTAATTGTTCACAACTATATAATGATGATAAAATATTGATATATTTTATATTATAATATAAAAATATCAAACTTTATATAATGTTATAATTATATAGAAATATTTAAATTTATGTTTATTTTATCCAGTCTGAAAAAATGCTAAAGATTTAACGTCCCTTAATGTTCACAATTATTATAATTGGATCTAAATCACATTAAAATATTATATTGTACAAATGTATTTTTATTTTAATATTTGAATATAGACATTTTTATTTTATTTACTTTAAGTTTTTGAGGTAAGTTTGGGTGAATATTTGGTCAGATAAGCACTAATTTTATTACTTTATTAAGCAAAGTAGTGTTATTTACTATCATTAAATTATGTGAAATACCATACACTACCATTCAAAAGTTTGGAGTCAGTAATTTTTTTTTTAAGAAATTATTATTTTTATTTTAAATTGTTTAAATTCTGTTATTTTGAACATTATATTCATCAAATAATACTGAAAAAAGGACCATGGTTTCCACAAAAATATTAAGCAGGAAAACTGTTTTCAACATTGATAATAATCAGAAATGTTTCTTGAGCAGCAAATCAGCATATTAGAATGATTTCTGAAGGATCACGTGACACTGAAGACTGGAGTAATGATGCTGAAAATTCAGCTTTGCATCACAGAAATAAATTACATTTTAAAATATATTCAAATAGAAAACATTAATTTTAAATTGTAATAATCTTACACAATATTACTGTATTTACTGTACTTTTTAATCAAATAAAAGCAGCACAAGAGCCTTTTATTTTTTTTGAAAAACATTTAAAAATCTTACTGACCCCAAACACTAGCCACTCAGCAAACACTAACAAATAAGTAATTTTATCCCCAGACAAATGTGTTCTAGTGTATTCCAGATATCTCTGAATAAAAACAAGTTTAAAAAATCATCAGTAATATGTATAAATTATAAGTAGCATTCACTTCCCCACAAACTCTGAAAAGTACCTTTGTACAGGCCACCAGCTGTGAGGTGGAGAGCGCGCACTGCGTGGCGGCGGTAATGACTCGGTTCTGCAGCGCCGTGTCCTCGGCCACCTGTGCCACGTTCTTGGCTTTCAGCACCAGCATGGCGGCTGCATTAGCTACGGCTTTAGCCAGGTTCATCATAATGTCCTGAAACATATTCGTCATTCAAGAAACACACTGTGAGGCAACCTGGCCCAGACTAATGAATGAAATAAACGCAAGGGTAGAGTTTAACAGAATAAAATAGAGGGCAATAAAAGGCTCTCGGAGGCTAACTGACTGTGACAGCATCAGCTGAATCACACTAAATCAAATTTTACGTGTTGAAAATGGGCGATAAAGTGTTTACTACAAGAGAAAACTGCTTTTCCAAGAAATAACGAGACATGTGATTGGCTGCGGGATTTGACATGAACCAATCATTGAATGCAGGCAAGTAAAAATCACATTCATTTGCACCCATTCATTTTTGATCCATTTTAACCATTCAAGACAGACCAACAATAAACTTTGATTAAATGATCCAAGTTGGTTTTCCCACACTCTTCAACTTCCTATAGATTAATATATATATATAGTCTGTTAAAGATCGTTACATCTGGAAAGCATCTGCTGTGGACAAACATCTGATAAACATCTTTAAGATGTCAGTTTTACATACATTCATACATACATAAACTTCTTAAAGACATTTTCTAAATGTCTATTTGACATCTAACAGGAAACGTCCTAGAGAGGCACTGCCGATGAGCAAACACAAAAAAAATACGTCTCGGAGATGTGTGTGTGCTATCAGGGATCTATCTATTCTGTAATAAACTTAAAAATATTGTTTTTATACTTGCAACCAATGACAATAGGTCAATAGCTTTATACTGTACTCTCATTTTTCACTGAATTACATCATTCACAATGCTATTCAACAATTCATTCTCTCATAACACAATTTGAAGGCTTGCCTGGATTCCAAATATCAAGTGTTTTTATACACTACAGAAAATAACAAATGTTCAAACAGTTTTTATGTTCTAAAGGAAATGGCCAAATACATTTTTTATGAATTACATTTTTTCCCCAATTATTACAACATGGCAAAGATCATATTCAAGATTACAGGTTGTAATTAAAAGTTACAAATTGGTCCAGAAAAAAAATTAATTGTATATATATACACACATGTATATATATATATATAAATAAATAAAATTTTTCTCTCTTTTATGAATGCATTTTCAGTTCAAATCATCACAAATTGTTTAAATATTTACTGTATAAAAAAATATTTAAATTTATTTTCAAACATTACTGTACCTCGTTTTGGGACAAAAGAATGCCTGCTGAAAATTCAGCTTTGTCATCACATTAATAAATGATATTTTAAAATATATTAAAATAGAAAATACTTCATATTACTGTTTTTACAGTATAATTTTCTTTTTATATTAATGTATCCTTGGTGAGCATAAGAGACTTGCAAAAACAAATTAAATGAAAAATTTTAATATAGTGCACGATACATATTATAAACTATTATAATACTTTTATGGTTTCTTAGGACATTTTGACAGCCCGTTCAACACTACTTTCACTGTATGGAAAATAGTGTTGAACGTTGTTCATATTGGATGACGAATATGAACATTCCTCAGAACATCTCATTTTGTGAAGAAAGCAAGTCATACAGGTTTGGAACAACATAAGGATGAATTTCTTTTAATTTATTTTCACACAGATTTTTGCTTTGAATCAATGTTCGCAATGCAGTAAATGGGAAAGATACTTCTGCTATTGTGCTCTATTCCAGAAAAAAGACACACCTGGAATCTCTCGTCAGTTTCTCCTTCTCCCATTTGTTTCAAAAGATCTCCACTGGCCTGGCCGATGCTGCTCGCCGCGCTCAACACCGTCTGTCTGGGCTGTGGGGTGATATTGGCACATAAGAAATGACCCTCGTACTGCCACCGCAACGTCTCAGAACTCAAAACACGGCTAATCACATCCTGTCTATCAGCTCTGCACCCCACTACAATTACCCTGTCTAGCGCAAGACAAACAAGTAAACAGATTGGGACTGCGCTCTGCAAACCAGGAAGGAAAAACACAGCTTAACGAGTTCATTATCAAATCTGCCTGTAAACAGCAGTGCGTTATTGGCGGATTAGATGTGAAGTGGTCGAGGGGTTTGCGTGCTTGCATTCGTCACCTCTCCAGAAGCTGGTTCCACGGCTCTGAGCAGGTCAGAAACGGCCCCTGTGAGGGTCCGGGCTGCCCCCATTAGATTCTGCCCGCTGCCCACCTCGTCCTCCATCAGAGCCGCCAGGAGCTTCACCCCTTTGGACATCTCGGTCAGGTTGGAGGAGATGGTGGTGATGGCGCAGCCCACGGAGGTGTAATCCGTGTCTGTAGGGTCACCTGGAAGGATTGGAGAAAGAAATGGACAAGGAGTGAGAGATTTAAAGTTATAGTTCACTTCAAAACAGAAACACACTGCCAGTAATTATTCACACATTCTGGAAATAAAGGTGGCGGAAATTATATTTTTTGTTATATTTCTGGATTAAAAAGGCAGACTCTTCTGTATTGCTAAGGATAATTACATATCTATTATTTATGTCTCTTAAATACACACAATTAAATCATAATTTCACAATTCCTGCATAACACGACAAGTGCTGTTATTGTTAACTGAAACTAAAACTATTAAAAAGAATTTTCAGGAATTGAAATAAAACTGAAATAAAATAACATATTACTATTAGATGAAAATGTTAATCTACAACAAAAATGAGTAATGATGCCTCGACAACTAACTGAAATAAATAAGCTAAAATATAATAATAAACTAAAAACTAAAAAAATCAAAGATATATAGAAATAAAAAAAAACTAAATAAAAAAGCTAAAATAAAAGAAAAAAAATTCACAAACTTAAAATTAAAATGAAAACTGAGAATATAAAAATAAAATGAATTCAAAATTTTTATTAAAACTGTATTAGTATATTAATAATACTAAAATAACACATACAGCTTGGAAATTATGCACAATAAAAATAGATAAAATGTACTTGACTTTTCCTAAACCATTTAAAAACAAACAAACAAAAAACAACAACATCACGTCTCATTTCATCTTAAGCTATTCAATGACACAGGTGTATTCTTGGTCACCTAACACATTGAAAGAAAAAAATATTTTTTTTTTACTTTCATGGCTTTAACACGCACCACTCAGATCTGCATCATGTGCAATAACGGGATCATTATTAGTGATCTCATTCAAAATGAGATCCATATGACACCAAACACATATGCATTCCATCTCTAGTGCGCACATCCACACTTCACATCATATCCTAACAAGCTCTTCAGGGCATGAGAACAGATGTAAAGCTCAGGCTGCAAAAAAAAAACCCAGTAAAGTTTGAGCTGGGCTGCTGGTTAACAGGCAAATCTCTGCACTATCAAACAGATGGCATGAGGAGATTAAATCCAGCAAAAACCTGGTCAGGTCCGCATGGAAGCTCTCCAGAACGCAGGAAGGAACACACAAATCTTGCCAAGCAGTTCAGCTTCAGGACAACAAACTTCAACTTCATTAATGGAAATATTTATTAGTGCAATTGGAGAGTGACTTATTATTTAGCAGTGATAAGAAACATTTTTCCATCATCGGTTGCTGGTATAAACCATAGAATGTATAAAAACATGGACGTAGAGTCCGTGACGTCACCCGTAGATTTCCGAAGAGCGTTTTTGAAGCTCAAAAGTGGGCGGAGGGGCCGTCGCCATCTTGGCAGCGCGTCACCGCACGTCACTCCCGGATAATCGAAAATGGGCAAAGAGGCGGGAGCAGGTCTCTAGCGGCCAGTTGACGAATTACAGTTTAAGTCACTTCCTTGTTGGCTTCACGAGAGAGAGCGGGAGGTTGCCGCTTGGGTATAAACCAATAAAAGTAGGTATTGCAAGACTGCATGTGTCAATTTCTTCATCGTTTTATACACTAGTGGTATTGGACAAATTATGTTTATTCAATTATGGGCTGAAAATAATGTCCAACAGTGTATATACATCACAGCAGAATTACAGTATGTCATTTTTAGGAAAGTTATGATCATTTCCAACATAAATTTCATTTCCTCCACATTGTTTGTTTTGCTAGGGCTAATTTCATATGTTATTCTTCCTAAATACACTATAATTTTTCGAAATAAAGAATGCAAAAGAAGTGCTGCACGGGGTATTGGGTTATAAAGGAGGGAGAGAGAGAAAAAAAAACAAAAAAAAAACAAAAAAACAACAAGATCACCAATATAATACTTCCAAATCTGAATTCTTATTACAAAAAAGGTACCAGGTCTAATTCCCCATTTAAGCCTGGAAGTTTAGTTGCCACATTGCTGTACCTTTAATTTGTTTATAGAATTCATCTTGAAACAAAAAGAAGTTATTATTTAATGTCCATTCTGCTAATTGCATAATAAAACATGCCGGTGGCCTTTCAGTAGATGATCTCATATCTAAATAGTATGATAATGCTTCCAGCCCATCTTTGTGATCTATATTCGTAATAATTTTGTTCAGTGTATATATATATTTTTTTTAGTTATTATTTTAAACGCAACACTTTTGTTTTTGCCCCCATTTTTCATGAGCTGAACTCAAAGATCTAAGACTTTTTCTGATGAAGACCATCTCTTTTCAACAGGTCAGGTCTGCCCCAAAAACTCGTCCAATTGTCTATGAAACCTATGTTATTCTGCGGGACCGAACAATGTACCGAACTCCCTGAGCTAGTCACATCCAAAGCCGTATCTTGGGCCCTCACATTCTTACTAGGGTTGGGCATAGTTTGAATTTGATCAGTTTCGATTCCGATGTGACAAAAAAATGATATCAAGAATATTTATTCTGTTTCTTTTTTTT